TGTAGTTGGACCTTTTAATGTAAAAAAAAAAAAAAAAAAAATTAAAAACAATAATGCATAAAAAAAATACTTCCACGAGCGCAGCTCGATTCAGCGTTTTTTTACACTCGTCTAGAGTCAGTACGATCTTTCGATCGAAATTACGTGGCAGTGACGTAGAAGAGACGAGTCGGTTTGCGCGCGAACTTTTGCAAAACACGCGTCGCGCAGCGATTCGGTATTCAAAACCCTTGGCGATTGACGCTGTACCTGCACGGGGCGTGACCGACATGCTAAATTTTCGTGCGAACTGACTTTTTCCCGCGTAGGTACACACATACGTCACTGGCAGCAGTAACGCGCGCAAAGTTTCATACTTTATTGTCAATAAAAAAAAAAAAAAAAAAAAAAAAAAATGCTCTAAAAAAACAAGCAACAAACATAGAAAAGACGAAATTCCGGTAGAACATTCATAAAAACCAAAAGTCCGAGCGCAAGATCATTCCTCTATAGGCTAAGGACTGCGCGAGCGCGGACTCAACCTTCGCCGGAAAAATTGAAATTTCATTCGCATATCCAGCAGATGTGTCACATGATTCGTCGGTGTATATACCACGCGAGTGGGAAAACGTCGCTCGCAAACCTGTTATATCGGTGTACGTATGTAAGTATACGGAGACTCCTTTCTTTCCAACGTTTGCATGTCATATCTGCTCGGCTTATTCGTAGACGCGTTGTTGTTCGGGTTATTATTGTTGAAGGTGTTGATCCTTAATGAAAATTTGTTTCAAATCGATGAAATCTAGTATAGGACCAAGTTGAAGAAAAGTTCGAGTTAAAATGTCATTTTTGTTAAACAGGTAAACTCACCATCTAATATTAATTAATTTACTAATAGGTAACCGGTCGACGTGTTTTTTGGCAAAATATTTCCCAGCAGTGTAACGTTGCGTGAAAACGTATCATTTTACGTGTCTTGCCAACCAAGTAGTGGAAGTGAATGAACATTTTTTTTTTTTTTTTTTTTTTTTTCTCATTTGTACGCGGAGATCTCGAACCTGCAGAGGTCGTCAAAGCTATACGAGGCTCCAAATTCAAAATGCGATTGCATGCAGCGCGGCACGTAGGAAAAAAATCACGTATAGGTCCAAGTCTTTAAAAAATCGTGAGATGGGGAGAACGAAACTTGGAAAGGTGCTCTCTTTAGCTTCATATGGTTCATATGGGAAACTAAATGGCTCAGTTTTTAGAAACACCCCTGAGCTCGAGGTAAAGTTAGACTTCAATGTAGAATTTAATTTCTAATTCCAGTTCTTCCGGTAAAATGGCAACGTTCATTTATTTATCGATAAAGTAACTTTTTCATCATCAGTGGGCCTAAGTATATATCCTTGTAGTATGTAAAATTATGAGTCAAGAAAGTGGTTCAACTGAAAAATGAGATTTTATTTTTCTCTGCCTTGTGATTTTTCAAAGATCTCATCGTAGGGTAAAACATACACACATGGGTGCATATACATTTGCCGAGGATAAGAGGAATTATCTGTTTTGAGAGAGCAACACATTTATTGGTCGTAATTTATCGACTCGAGAGCACAGAGAAGTTGAAGAAGGTGGTCGGAGGGGAGCTCGTTGCCACGTTATTCGCACGCGCGACTAGTAACAAAAAAAAAAAAAAAAAAAAAAAAAATCGGTGCTGCTGATGGATGCGACGGCTCTTTCGGAGAATCGCTGTCGGGCTAAAGTAATTTTCACAAATTGCCCCTCCGAAGATTGCGGAAAAAGAGTCGCAGATAAGGTAACATATTCGCGGATTATTTAACGGATATGGGCTTTTACGAGCACGTCGTATGATTGTGTGAGTGCAGGTACGTTCAGGAGGGACGATAAATTAGAATATCTCTCTCTCTCTCTCTCTGTAAATAAGCTATATGTGCATCTTGTGGTGATGTTACAGTACAATGTTTTCCAAAGTATTCGTAATACGGGTTGCCCCCTGATTCACGTAGGAATTGTACGATGCATGAACTGCCAACATGGACTCCATGAACTTCCGTTGTAAGTGTCAAGTGAAGAAAAAGAGAGAGAGAGAGAGAGAGTGTGTTTTGGGCCTTATTGTAAGGAAACAATACGGAGTTGAGACGAAGAAGAAATTGGAAAAAAGCCACTCTAGCTCATGGTTTGTTCGTCCAACCTGGCACTGAATTACGCGCGCTTTTTCCAGAAAGAGTATACGCGTCGGCGGTGTCCCGATGGTCTTCCCGACAATCAAGTGCGAGGCGTCATAGGTCGTTGGTATAATATACGTCCCTATGGTTTTAGTCACTGCTTTGATATTTTTTGTTTTATTTTTTCCTCAGTTTTTTTTTTTTACTTGTTGCGTGTCATGTGCGCCTTTAATTCTGAATCATTAATTATTTTTTGGTCTCTAATGGAATTAGATAATTCTGGAGATTAGGTGCAATTATTGACGAAAAAAACGCAATATTTTCTGATAACTGTCACGATAACGTTTTCGAAATCATTCTGAGTCAGAATTTGCAAGTGTAATAGCGTCGATCGACTCGATTAACTACAATTTATGGGCACACTCGTGCGTGTACATTAACAAATCCATGATGACATAAAATTGTAGTTGTAGAAGACCACAAAAATTAGAAGTAGTAGTTTTTCACGCACACCCTCGAATTTTACCAGCAATTTTTCTCTAATCCTGATATTTTTTTCAGTAAATAATTCTCAAAATTATGAGATTTTTTAACGAACAATGAATTTTTTAACTCTTAAATTATCAGGCTTACAAAAAAAATCCTAGAAATGTTTTACTTGTATTATACCAAATAATGGAAATAAAATGATTTCACGTCAAAGTTTGAATGTAATGTGTCCATATTTTTGGGGGTCAAAATGGTACACGAAAAAAAAATTTTGAGGGAGGTTTTTTTGTGGAATTTCTGATAATGATGTCTATGAAATGAATAATTTTATTTAATTCCAATCGATCAGCTCCAAGGCCAAAGATCCTGGAGATTTTAGTTTAAAAAAAAAAAAAAAGGAGAAATACGCGTTATTTATTGCAAAACTTTTTAAATAAGGATCAAAGAAAGATTAGTACGAATTAAAATTTTCAATCAGTGTCAAGACTAAAACTTATTGTCCGATCCTGCTTTTGAGGTACTCGTACGGATAAACCCGTGATTCATTTATCACTCGACTAAAAAAAAAAAGAAGGTGCACGAGGAAGGAAAATTTGTAATCAAATTATAATGACAATGAAAAAAAAAGTCTATTAACTCTCGCAAGTGTGGCGTGCTTGTGTAACGTGTGCGCGCAATAACAATTGGTCTTTCCGAACAATCGCTAACGGCACTGCTGTGGTATATAATAATATATTATATACATAGCTAATGTCCTAAATGATATACATAACCAACACTGCGGAGAGATTTTTTATATCTTAACAATGAATTGTGACTTTATAAGTGTCGCTTCCTTCAAAGATTCGTGCATTGCAATAATAAACGATATTTTTTATACTCTTTTTGTACGTACATTTATATATTACGGCCAGAAGCAAAAAAATCCAACGCATACATCTCGTTATGTTATTTAATTGTTGCAACATAGGGGCCAACGCAAAAAAGTTGTTCAAAAACGTGATTAGATAACACATGATCTTGGCAGCCTATGATCATAATGCGGTAATCAGTCAAGTATAGGTTTGATAAATGATGTAAAGATGTTTATAGAAAATTACATCTTTGAACGTCGCTACTGGTTTGCGGCAGCGGCAACTATTCCTTGTCTTGTTTTGGCGCAATTACCACCAGCGAAGTACAACGATCCTTCCTTGACTTTGAATCGTTGCGTCACCCGTTCGCAAACTCCTTGCATGTACGCAATAACATATCACGTACTTTTCCGCAAAAAGGCACATTTTAATTTGGTGCGTTATTTAAATATCTTGGATGAATGCGAAAAAAGCTTTTGTCCAGTCAAAATAAGGCTGATAGAAAGTAAATTGAGAACACCACGTGGCTTTTTTATAAAAACGCGCAATATTTGTGTTTCGGAGCTAATGACGTCAATCTTGAATTTATGTGAGACGGCGCTATCTAACTTTTCCTTGGATACAACGTGGAAAACATTGGAATAGAACGTAAATATTTGGTAAGATTATATATTTTCACCAAAATAGGTTTTTTTTTTGTTTGTGATGTTGAGTTTTACAAAAATTTCATTTTTTGTGCACGTTTTGTTCGACTTTTGGTGAGTGAATCTATCCTCCATAAGAATTACGTTTTAGAAATGACGTACACTTTTGCAGCAGATTTTCAGGAACAGCGCACAGGTGGACATGTATTTGCAAAAAAATATCGCTGAGCCAACAAAGTTCTCGAGACGTCGACAAGTCACAGTTGCAACAACATTGAGTTCAATAAGTGCAATACATTTTGTATGACAAAGTTTATTGCAAAGTTTTGAATAACTTTACTTTTTTCTGGATTGTTTTTTTATTTAAAATTATAATGCATTGATTTTGTTAGAAAAAATGTTGTTAAGCACAAAATATTACAAGGAGTAATGGTTTTTAGCATAAGTAATAAATTATATTTTTAGAAAAAAATTATATCGCAAAAAAATTTAAAATAAATATTCTACAGCTCTTGTATAATTATATACATGAAGTAAAAATATCTAATGGAGGGTACATCTACGAGTCCATGAAGAACGAATAATGTATTGATACACGATTTTGCATACGTCGAGTTAAAGGTGAGGGTATGAAAAAAATGATGTGTTACCACTTTCATTGCCAATTTCTACCATCTAAGATATTGGAGTAAAAGACCAAAAAAAAAAATGGATTCTTGTAAAAAGCTTTAAAAAAGTCGATGTCTTCGACATCTGCCGAAAGAAAAAATTAAAAAAAAAAAAAAGTAGTAAAAATTTCGTTGTGATACCGGTAAAATATTTACGGACCATGTAAACAATGGCTTTCAGCATTTTTGTTCCTTTCTTTCTGTCATCGTTCGATAAAAGCCGCTCGGAGACTCTCACTCCGCCCGAAATAGAAAGTAAGAGAGCTTGTTTTCGTCGATAACTTACTTTATTGGCTAAAACGATAACACGTCTCTCAGTAAGTAGGCGTTTCACGTTAAAAATGTAACTAAAACAATTTAGTTGCAAAATGATGAGCGCAAAACGTGTTTAATCACTCACTTTGCAAAATGTCAAACACAAAGTTGCCATCAAGCCTCAAATCGTGTGATCATCAACAGTCAATAAAAATTTTGAAACGAAAACAAAAAGTTGGGAAACTGGTTACAAGGGTCGAAAAAATTACTAGAAAAAAAAACAAAAAAAAAAAAACTGCGTGTAACGATGTACATGGAACTGTATCGCACAGTAGGTTTTTTTTTTTTTTTTTTTTTAAAAAGGCCGTGAAGCGTAGAGACATAAAAGAAAAAAAAAAAAAAAAAACAGAAAAAGAATGGGAAACCCATATTTTTTGCAACTCGGAAGAAGCGCAGGCCAAAGGTCAAAGATAAAGTCCGAACTAAATATTCAAGCGATGGCTTATAAAAAAAAAAAAGCGATCGAGCACTACGCACGCGTATCGGAGAGTGAGAGGGAAAAAAATGCTTCCGGATAGTCCGGAGGACGATTCCACCTTCCCTCATCGTGCAGAGGAACGAAGGCCAATGTCAAGCTTCGCTCTCTCTCCCGGAGCAAAGCCCTCTGGCTCTCCCCCTTACCTCCCAAGTCTTTTTTGGATCCTCGGAGGTCCTGCGGTGCCCATCTCCCCACACATGTACACTAGAATCAGAAAGATAAGACGAGCCTCTTGGTGGGGGGAGGGGGTGTATGAGCTGCATCACCATCACGGGCGAGGAGGCCCGAGGGATCTAGATATTTTTTTCGTTTCGAGCCTCCCCATCCAAAGAGTCAAAGAGCGAGGGGGGAACCTGCAGCTCAGTCATCCACGTGTGCGAGCCTTTTATTCGTATGTATATTTACACGCATACACACGCGTGACGGGTTGGCGACGGCGTCGCGTACAATGGTCCTCCTGACTTGTATAGACGGACCGCCTCGGCGAGTGCAGGAGAGGGGGCGACTATAAGGCCCTCAACACTGCCTCCGTCCAATTCATTTGCCACGAGGGACCACGTCGAAATCAATTGTCCTCTCGGACGTTCCTCTTTGCTTATTTCGCCTGTACAGTTTGTCGTTCAAGTTCAAGTAGCGCGATTTTTCACACATTTTTTTACACGACATGGCACACTCTACGACTATTTTCGCTCTAGTGCTTTGTGCCAGCATCATCGGCTGCACCCTCGCCGTCGACGTTCGTAAGTCCATGCTTTACTTTTTTCTCTTATTTTCCTCATTTATTTTTTTCTTTTTTTTCCACCCAATGCGTCGTTTTTGAGCTCATCTGTTATATTATAGCATGCAGTTTTGATTTATATTTGACAACGAAGAGAGCCTGTTTTGGAGGATGGTTTTGTTTTCGTATTTGTTGAAATTCACAACAATTTTCATCGAGTTGCATTTGTTATGATTTTCACAGCTGCACCATGCGAATTGAGGACCTGAAGAATTTAATTAAAAAAAAAACTCTTTCACCCGATCGGGAACATCGAGAAAAACTTTTCGAACCGAAAAAATATTCCGTTGGATCCGACCGGTGAGCTGTCCTCGACGCAGCGTACCAACTCGTTCTCCCATTATTCCGGCTCCTCTAGACAAAAGAAAAAAAGTAATAAAAAAGTTGACCTTTTTCTTCTTCTTTGCCCACGCGCAGCGGACTTTATTCACGTGTGCAAGCGAAACGACCCGCATATCGAGGACTGCATCAGAAGAAGCGTCGACGAGCTAAAGCCAAAGCTAGTGACCGGCGAGCCAACTTACAACATCCCGTCCCTGGAGCCCCTGCTCCTCAAGGAGCTCATAGCGACCGAAGGCTCGGGTGGCCTCAAGATCACCGCCCGCGAGATCAAGGCCTACGGTGCCAGCAACTTCTACATCCAGAAGCTCAGGTGAGCCGCGACACATGTTTTTACCACCACATCATCCTCCAATGACGGTGTGCGTGTTCTCTTGCCACGCTTATCAAAAAGAGAAAAAAAAAAACATGCATCTATACACTTTGCGACTAATTTTGCAATCGCGATTGTTTCTTTTTGTTTTTTTCGCTCGCGTGCCTCGACGCGTCTCACTGCGGGGCACGTGCCGATTTTAACTGCGCGCCACGTTCCGAACAAAACTTTTTTATTTTCTTGCTTCAAATCGTCACACTGGCCCGATCGTAAGAAATAAAAAAATAAAAAAAAAAAACTGCCAGGGAATCGAATAACAAAACGCGTAATTGCACTTCCGACGATCGATGGATTCCGGCTTCTGGAACGATTACGATCTATTTTGTCATTAGCACGGCTCAATTACCGGTCGCGCTACTGTCCTTTGCACGTGCCCCGTAAAATTGACTTTGACGAATCTTCGTGGTCTCTCTTGCGTTGATCGTGTTGAAAAATATAACCGAAACCTGGCGATTTTTTTCCTCGCATGCGACGATCGGTACCCGGAATCTCTTGCGAAATACGGGAAACAATCAAAGAAACGAATAACAAAGTAGCTCGCCGAGATGGAGATCGCGAGCCGAAAGAGAAGAAGAAAAATAATGCTCAAACGAATCCACGCGCACGAGATCGCCACACACGTGTATATAATATACATCATGTCAGCCACCGCGTGTAACGTATATACATACGAACGCGAGATGTATCGTGTCCACCGGTAAGTCGGACGACGAAAGGAACGGACACGCGCTCACCATACCAAAGACGCGATCTTAATATGAAAAAAAGAAAGAGAAAAAAAAAAAAAAAAAAAATCAGAGCCACGCGTTGTATACTCGTGTGTATCTTTCGATTTCGCGTCCAATTATGTTCCACAGTCGTCCCGAATATCTCTATTCGTAGCTCGTACATTATGCAACGAGCGAAGCGCACCTTTTGCCAGAGAAAGAGCACTTCGCGGATAATAGACGAAAACAGATCCGCGTCGACGAGCGTGCGCGCGCGTACGTAGCTCGAATTAAAATACGGCGAGGCCTCCGGGAAGCGGAAAAGTGGCCTCTCGTCCGCGCAGGACTTATTTACCCGTGAAATTTAACGACACCTACCAAGGACGACAATTATTTATCGGCCGCACAAAGGATACTCTCCGTTACCCTTTTACACCCATCGCGGGGTCAGTTTTGTCATTTACAATCGCCGCGGTCGAGCCTACACGAGTTTTTTCCCCGCGGATCCTCCACGAATCGTAAATGCACTTACCTGCCGCGTCGGTGGCTTTTCATTGCATCTTTAAAGCTTTGCTCGCACCAAAGTGACCAAGTAAACGTAAGCATAAAAATATACAAACCACATACCGTCGCCCGGTGCGCTCGTTAAAACCGTAAGGGGGACCGCAATAAAAAAAATTCGCGCCGTTTCTTTTTCGACCGCAAGCAAAATATTAACATCCGCTCATTGTCCACACCGCAAAGTTGTGAATTATGATTAAATCACTTGTTTTATACGATAGCCGGCACAAGCCCATCCGTAGAAACGAGGGCAATAAAAGAAAAAAAAAAAAAAAACGAGCCGCGAGACCACCTACGCGGGCGATCAAACTGTACGTGTGTAGCTTATTTTTTACAAGCCCGCGTTCTGGCACGTTTTCAGCGCTGCTCCTTGGTGTAACTTGCGTATGCCCACCGACGTATCCTGTGAAAAATCAGTGATTGTCATCTCGGGCATCCCGGTCCGGCATAACCGGCAAAATTTACAACTCCGAGATCACCCGCGAGGAATAAATTAGCAATGATAATACACCTTGTAGCCACTCTTGTTTTGTATTCTATAGCGTACTTTTATTATTAGTACCTGGTATCCGAGCATAAGTATACTCACTGCGACAGAGCTATCGACGACTCAACGCGCAAGTACTCGTCACCACAAAAATTAATTTCCCTTCTCCACCGTCGCGTTGACTATTAGAACGCCATTCGCTCTGCTCCTTTTTTTTTTTTTTTTTTTTTGCTCTACGTGACGGTGACGCGAAATTACGTTTCCATTAACCTTGGCTCGCGCTAAGAGTTGCCGAGCAGAATAAAAATTTGAAAAACTCGCTGGCCCAAAGTCCCGCGTTTTCCATGGATGCATCCTCGCAGCCGTGGCGTTACAGTGACGTTCCACTGTTGTCCGCGAACGAGCGTCCCGTTACAGATAAGAAATGTATCGATCAGTGACGCAACGTAGTTATAAAATTTGCGGGGAGGAAAAAAAAAAAAAGAAAAAAGGAAAAAGGAAAATCGAGTGATAAAAAATGTACAGGGTGGACATGAACACGTTGCGCTTCGCCATGGACATCCTGTTGCCGCACCTGTACATCGAGGGCCTGTACGAGATAAACGGGAAGGTGCTGTTGCTGCCGATCCGGGGCAGCGGGCCGCTGACCGGTAACTTCACCGACGCCACGGGCTCGGTGAAGATCCAGGCGGCCACGTCCAAGGACATCAACGGCGACGACCACATAACGCTCAACGAGTTCCGCATGCGCATCTCCATCCGCAAGGGCTCCCTCAATCTCGAGAACCTGTTCAACGGGGACCCGACCCTCGGCACCGTCATCAACAACGCCATCAACAGCAACTTTGACGCCTTCCTCAAGGAGCTACAGCCCCTCATCGAGAAGGCCCTGTCCAACGCCTTTACCGACATCAGCAACAAGATCGTTAATCCCTTCACCTACAACCAACTGTTCCCCGCCTTCTGAGAACCCTCGCTGTCATCGGCATTTTACCATCACCCTCCTCATTACTCCCTCGTTTGTCATTTTTATCATTACCTGTGCGACAGGTCCACCATTTTCCATCATTTTCCTCTTCTTATCGACGTTATTTCAATCCCTTAGGATTATTACTTTTTTTTTTTTTTTTTTTTTTCATTATTTTCTTTTTTTTTTTATCAACAAAATCCTATACTAACGTGTACATAATTCTTTGCGGCACAACAAATACAGCATTTTGTAGGTGCACCCTTACTTTTCCATTTCTTTGTATCCTCGATCGCGCCAAGGTAAAAAGTGCGACGTACAAACGTGTCCGGAGAATAATAATTTGTGCGTCGCTTGATGCACAAGTGAGCTATGGGTTATTGTACATCGAGTAGTCGAATAATCTTTGTACTTCGTCAAAAGATCCAAGATAACATCACGAATATCGAAAGGGGAGGAATAAAATAAAATTTAGCCCTTGATTTTTTTTCCATGCCTTTTGAGCGTCGCGATATTTGTTGCGCGTATACGTATGAAAAATTACACGTGTAATACTCGAAACGCGATATTCGTATATAAATCGAATCGTTAACATGAAGAATATACGTATATCGTTGTAGACAAGTCCCATTGGAAGGTGACCAAATCAGCAAAGTCAAATGCCGTCGATCGGGTACAAGATGACAAGACGGTGTCTCACGATTATCTATTGTAATGTTCGAAATTTTTTTTTTTTTCATGCGAAATGGCCACAAAATTCTTTTGTCCCCAAAAATTGGCTGTAATTTGCAAAATTTGGTCACTCTAAGGATAGTATATTAATTACATTTCGGTATATATACCTAACTTTGATGCAAAAGTATATAAGTAGCCGAGTGATGTAATTTCAATAATATGTTCTTTACGTAAGGTTGTCATTATTAGGATTAGTTTTAGTAATTATGATTCACGTACTTATCACATAACTTTGAAAATTATATCGAGTATAATAATCACTCGAGCGATGTATCCAAATATTAAAATCGCAATTCGTGCCAAGTCCGCAGCTAAAATAACAGAATGCAGGCATGTATTGTCAAGCGTATTATTAATATCCATCGATGACTATCCCTCCCAATTCCCTTTCGGAGGTAGTCGATGATTGTTTTATTGTATTCACTTATTTTTTTCCACGCAAACTTTTACTTGAATACTTGATGTGAGTGAAATTGCGAGCGCCTTACTGATTTTTCATAAATTGATGACAAAATTGTGACTGATTTGTCTTTTATCGATTAAATATTTTTATCATTAATTACCTACAAATTCCCAATAATAGCTGTACCACAACCAATCGTCGAACAAGCGGACATCCAGTCTGTGTAGTCTGGGAATATCGTATTGTTATACAGGTGGCGTTCGAGAGCAGGACTCTACCGATCGGCGTTCACGATTCCACGGACCATAAAATACCTGTCCTACCATTGGTCGATAATTTCCACGAATTTTACTCACTTTTTTACTTCAATTATATACTTGAAAGACATTTCAGCATGATGTATAGCAGCTAAACAGGTACGTACAAGTATAAATTATCGCTGACGATTCATTCGCGATCGCGTCGAAACCTAACATTTTCTTTTCATCGGATCTTTCATACTTGTAAATTATTTTTAAGTACCAACATAAATCAGATTTTTAAAGTAAGATCCATGAGTTATTATTCAGAAAAGCAAAAAAAAAAACAAAGTGTAATTTTGTATGCACTACAATTTTCATCAAGTGTAATTCATTACATTCCTTCCGGCGAACCGGTCCGCGAGGGGATACGCAAAAAAACTCCTTCGGGCTCGTATATCAGATCACGTGAAAAAAAAAAAAAAAAAAAAAGCAAAGTAACACATCCCAAAAGATAAGAATTCGTCGTGTACACTTGTAAATTTTAAAAGACGGAAGCCAAATGAGGCGAGGTCGAGCGTCGGGGAGGTAAAAAAATATGGAATTTCGAAATGAATGTCTGCCTCTGGGTGTTATCGTAAAATAAACTGACTCTTTATTTCACATATAAATAACTATCATTTCAGTTAAAACTATGTACATTTGGCACTATATAATTCACGCAAAATGTTATTTGTTTGATCACCGCCAATTCAAAAATCCCGCATAGGTACAACATCGGACGTGACAATGTCACTCGATAATTATTAAAACAATCGTAGATGTCTTAACAAATAAGAAACAAAAAAAAAATAAATAAATAAAATATCGCGCGTCTTATTAGGATCTTTTTTTGCACTTGACAGACTACACTTTTGCTTGCTAACATGGCACTCAACGAAACTAAATAATTGCGTCGGTTCAACTATACAAAAATGTTCAATATAGTAAATTGTTCAAGTTTGCGGCAAAAGTGTGTTGCTGAACCATTACGATTTGAAAATGAATTTTGAAGTAAGTATACATAAATAATAAAAAAACTCAACCAAGTGTTTTTCGCGGGTCGAAAGCAAAAGCAAAAAATAAAAAAAGGGAAACGATAAGTTCAGACGCGGTCGGGAAAGAGCTCGTCGAAAGTAAAGTGCTTGCATATCTTGTTGGAGAGCTCGAGCATCTTTTTCGAGACGGTCTTCTCGATGTTGGGTGTCATGCTGTCGATGATCTCTTGGCGGCTCGTCACCAGCACTTGATTGATGGCCTGGCTCATGGGGTTCTCCGTGCCGCCTTCCGGGGTCGGCCGGAACACCGCCTCGTAGTCGCCGATGTGCAGCTTCATGTTTATCGACGGGAAGTAAATGAGCGTGCGGCCGCGGCGCTGCACCAGCTCGTACTTCAGCACCACCTTAGCCACCACGTCCTCTGCAACAGATGTACCGTTGATCAACATTTTCACGATTTTTTTTTAAATACATTTTGGTTCAATCAATGCTGTTTGTTGGCCCTTTGCGATGACGTAGCTCGTACGAGTTGTTCGTTTATGGTTTTCCCTACACATGATCACTGAGAAACATTTTTCCTGTTTTTCTAGTTTTACACTTATACACAGAGGGTGTTTCGATGTTTTATTTGGCGGGTCGGCTAAGGGTAGTTATGAACCTATGAAAAAAGGTAAAATATATACAAATCGAGGAAGTTCTTGTAGTGTATACCACAGCAACATCTCAGTGATAATCTTGATGCACGACCACAACAACAACAAACTATTGTACTTTTAATTTGTTTCTGTTTTAAAAAATGTTACTGTGCGATAATTCAACAAAGATTTGGAGAAATGTCAAACAGCAACGTTGAATGGTCATTTGATCCAAATCACGTTTTTTCTCAAATGTCAATAAAAATAAAAATTATTTACTTTAATTTATTTTTTGATCAACTAAATCTTGGTCAGCAGTTTACCATTAAAATTTCTTGGTGCAAAAAATGGTGTGCATAAGTATACTCGTGAAAATTCGGAGAATAAAGATGACACTTTAATTTCATCAGTACTTCTCATTATTGAGATGCAAAAAGCACCTCACTTTTATGAGTAGATAATCATCGTCAAACTGGCAAAAAACTCGGCTGACTCGACAGATTTTTTGCCAATTTAACGATTTTCCAGATTAATCTAAATTCTAGTCCCAACCAATGATCACCTGTAAAAAAAAAACACTCAGCCGACTTTTCGATATTAATTTTTTTGCGCGTGTCTCATTATCGTTGGATTCTCTTTTTTTTCAGAAAGCGTGACTCATTTATAGCTTTTAGAATTACTGCTTTTTTTTACGATCGAACGAACGTATACCATTTTTCATGAAATATATATTTGCGCCACCGCAAGAGTAACTATCTCCAAAAAAGTAAAAAGTGAAGAATGAAAAAAAAAAAAAAATAATAATTACTTGAGACGGTCTGGATGGGTCCTTTCTCGTTGATGGGCACGAGAATCTTTGCCTTGACATCGTAGTCGGCGTTCATTATCACCTCGGGGAACACAAGTTCCATGTCGAATTGCTTCTTCTCGAAGTCAGCGTGATAATGTTTGTAGTAAAAATTCGACAAGCCGGAAATTTTGCAATTCGTAGCGACGGCCTTGAAAGTGTCGAGTTGGGCCAGAGTCATCTCCTCCATTTCCATGGGCTCGAGGGGCGGTACGTCCAAATCTGGTAGGCCGTTCTTGAGCTTCGGCAAAAGCGCGTGCACGCTGTCCTGGATGCATTGGTCCACTTGGGGATTGCGACGACCGCACACGTGAATGTAGGATGCTGCAAAGTTAAAATAACCAAGATATGTTCTTTATGCGGTTGAACAATCTTTGAATTGGTATTTACTACAATTTCAATGCAATTTTAGTGCAAGGTTATACAATTGCAGAATCAAATTTTAATGCTTTATAAAAATGTATAGCGTTGTCGTATACGTTACGAAAACAATATTTATTAATTTCAGATTTTTTCCGAATTTAATAAGCCACATACGCTTTGATTACCGTCTAGAATAAAAAACAATTTTTAATTTAAAAACTACTGATAATTGGATAACATATTTAAACTCGCATTCATGGCTTATTCTCAAATTTACTATTTTTAAGTAATTGTTTTTTTTCAACAAAATTTATTTTTTGTCAGTGAAAACTGTGCGTTAGCAATTAAAATGAAATATTCATTAAAATCGGTCGATGGAATCCAGAGGTACAACTTTTTAAGTTTTTTTCCACATTAATCATTCCTATCCTTATGTTGCAAAACACGTTTCTAAAACGTTTTTTAAATAGGTTCGTGATCGATGTAAAGCTTGCACTACGAGAAATTTAGAATAAAATTTTATCGAATCATTACGAAGGATTGCAGTTTTTTACTAAACGTAGTCATTTGTAAAATTCCACATGGAAAATTTGTAGGTTGTCGAAAGAGAGGTCTATAGCTTACGTTCATTAAAATTCCAAAATTATAAGAAAATGTAGATTGAGAAAAACCAATCTTTTTCAAACAGCTTATGCAATAAACAAACTGTTGGAAATTTATTTTTTAATTAATTTCATCGACGGCCTGAGGAAGGATAGAATCATTTAAAATTTTCTGGAAGAAAGAAGTGTATCAAATTTTTGGGGAAAAATACGATACTTCACTAAAACTGAAAAATGTTTAAACTGAATAATGGAATTAACAATTTTCGAATTATCTTGTCACTTAAACTTAAAATCACACTGTTTCTTAATTGTTTAGAAAAACGTGTAATCTTATACTATTACGTAAATTATTTTGAAAATATTATATCGATGAAAAAAATTTTTTTAAAAAGATTCCATGTTATGCGAATCAATATTTGATGCAAATCAGATTCTTGAATCAATATTTTTATAGGTGATAGGAGTTTGTTTTTAACTTTGAAATTACACATTGTTTAAATAAATCTGACGAGTATGTTATTTTACTCAGCTTTGAACGTCGCAGTAGCAAACATAACATATTGCACTTAACGCAAGCACTAAGATGAAATCCTGAATTTTCCAAAAAAGTGTATTATTATCGTATTGGAAAAAAAAAAAGAAAAAAGATACTCAAGGAGATTACTAACAACGAGTTACAATAATTTATTACCCATGGAAAAAGGCGCGTACAAAGCAAAAAAACCCGTGAATATTCGCGTTGACTAGTAAGGCCACGAAGAGAGAAAGAGAGGCATTTTTATCACGTTTTACCTTGATGGCATTAAATCGCGCCTTGTAATTACAATGCGCAGACAAAAGTGATTACTTTGCCGAGACACATTATCATATAAAAAGTGTACGCGCGCGTTACGTACATTTTCAACACCAGGTAGTACAAGGTATACACCATCGGGGCGTCATTATTTTCAATCGCGATAAATTGAGCAATTAACTCTCGCAAACGGCGGCTGCTGATTTTTTCTTCTCGCCACAACGTACACCCTTGTTTATCAAATACGTAATGTATTTTTGTTCTTTTTTTTTTTAAGATTCACGAGCAGTGATATATTTTCCACACAAGCCGGGGTGGGGGTGGCACTGGTTGTATCAACGAGCTCGGGGAGCACACAAAACAATGCGTGGACTTGGGATACTTACGAACTTCGGCATCGACGGCGAAGAAAACGAAGAAAAGCGCGAAGAGGCAGAGCGTCGTGGACGGGATGAGCCGAGCCATGGTGCAGCGAGCGAGTTGATGTTGACCAAACCTGTTCGCCACTGTTCGCGTCTCGGGTGGTCAGGCCATATTTATACAAGTTCTAGGTCGCGGCTACGCGGGGGACGATTATCCGAGATGCCCGTCCCCTACCCCCTTCGGATGCACGCGATCATTAGCACCTGCGAGCAACAGAGCGGGGGAGGGGGACCCGTTTTGTGACGTACGTTGTGCATGGATTTTTCAGCTTCGTCAGGTTGATCGACCGACTCGGGATTTTTGGGAATTCGGGTGGCCTTTTCAGTCAGGTGCATCATTTTTTTTCTTCCCCCCTCGTTTTTTTTCTGCAGTGACCTTGAATTTATTATATTGTACGGCCTTCGCGTGGAAGAAGCCGAAAGTTGCCGGGCGGTCCCGGTGGTTGATACTTTGTTGTTGACGTTCTGGCTCTTTTTTTCCAGTAACGGCTTCGTATACGTCGTTTATACGGTGATTGAACTTTACTTTTTTTGGCGATACACCTGTGTTTATGATGTTGGTGTAGGTCGATCGATCATCGATTTATGGTCATCACGCGACTTTTCTACTTTTTTTTTGAGGATACAACAAAAAACCCAAGTTTTGTTTAGTTTGCCTGCACTCTGTTGGAGACGTAAAATAAATATCGTGATTCAACGGTCATTTCGACTTACGTCATGATCGATGTATCGAATGCTCGTGATTCATTTTTGCTTGATGATCATTTGGCGACACGGAAAAAACGAGGCAAAACCCTTTATTTTATTTTGATGTTTGTTCATTTTCATGATTCGTACGAGGGTTTTTCTGTTTATAACAAACGCGCCGGGTGACTCTCATGTCTGACCACCAAAGCGCTGATACTACTTGGCTTGTTACGTGAACTGGAAGGATGTATACCTAATAAACGATTTTTTAACGTGAATGAAACTTTTCTAAATATTTTAATTAATCTAATCAAGTATTAATTTTTACTTTTTTAATTATAATTTTTTAACCCTCCATGATTTTTCGCACCAAACTTGTTTCCTCATTCGAATAATGTATTTTCTTTGTTATCCACTTTTTTGAGCTCCAAATTTTCTTTCCAAAAAAAATTCAACGTAACATATAATTATAAAACAAAAACTTTTCCTTTGTTGCCCAGCTAGTAAGACTAGTATATTGGTAGTATGGGTGAAAACAACTCCTCCTACATTTATTTCTCTGATTTTTTTTGTCTACTTGTAAAAAAAGTAGCTTCAGTATATAAAACCAGAATTTTCTCGACATATTTTGTTTTAACTTCAACTTGTACTACTGTTTTTTTTATGCATTCGTTTCGTCCGCTACATAATGCATAATTTCCGCCACGATCTCATATGTATCAAAAGATGGTAATTTGGCCTTTTCTTATACTTCTTTACCCAATTTTTCCAAATATATTTCAGTACGTATACTTTGTACTACGCAGGTAGTGGACCGACTCCCCAAAATTTTTCTGCGGATTTGGAAAAATAAAATTTATACACTTTATTCTGAAATTCGCTATATTTATGAACTTGCCAAATCGTACTTTGATGAAAATTGAAGATGGATGAAAATATACCTACATATAATCCATTTATATGCGTCACCATATACAAATGTTATGAAATGTAGAAACACTGAGGTACTTTCAACACGTGTGAAAAGACCGGGTAACTTTTTATTGGACTTTTTTTTCCACGGATGACGAGATATTTTTGCAGAATTTTCTCTTACACCATCCTTAAAGACACTAGTTATTTGGCGTTTATAACTTTCCATTGCATCCTACACGTGCCCAAAAAAACCTCCACTTCCTGACCAAGTCGCGCTCATTATCATATACATATCAGGTATTAGTCACCTACTGAAAACTAACTGCGAAATCAAATAAATATAAAAATGGCACATTAAATGCATGTATGTATGCATTATAGGTGTGGAAATTTCCGGTTGTCGGATTTGCCGAATCGTTTCACGAACAGTAGCTAACCACATTGTGCATATAGATACGCGGCTGGTGGCTGGTACCACAGTCGAGTTACTGGAGCGGATCAAAAGAGAAAGTCGCTCTAAAATATGAAAAATTTTAATTGATTTTGGAATTGATTTTTTTATAAAAGACGTTGTCCCTTTCGTACCAACCTTGAAGATATTTACTCGTCTTTGATTGTTATTAATATGAAATACCATACTTACAACTACACAACATTTTTTCTTTGCGATTTATTACTTTGCAAACAACATACTTGAAAAAAAAAAAAAAAATACATTGCTAATACACCATTATGCTTCATCTTCGTAGCCAGCAACGTCCGATTTGACAACCTGAAATGCCGAAATTGAGAGAAATGATTTCTTGCGTCTTCAAAATTCGCTGTTCATGTCCAGGGGTGCCCCTTCAATCCCCAATTTCTAGCAATTCACGAAACTCGCTCACCAAAGGGGCAAAAAATATTTTAGCGAGAAAAACGAGCACCGATAAAGAAAAAAAAATGAAATAAAACACTCTCATCTTTCCTTGAACGGGATCAATCACAGTTTTTCATTAGTGCGAAAAAAAGCCGTAATCACTAGGATTTCGTTGAAAACGTAAAATTAAGATTCATTGAAAATTACTCGGCACAACATACATAGGTACAAATAATTGTATTTTCATCCTGACTATAAATGCGTTACTACTGATGCAATGGAGACTAAAATCTTAAAACACACTCCGACTAGGGACATTAGTGATATAATACTTGTATGGATTTCAATGTATTACTTTTTGGGGGGAATCTGTATACGTGTATGCAAGCATATACATTTCCGACGCGCACAAACGGTGTCGTTATCTTCTTACGCATACGCATATATTCGAAATTACATCAGTGGATGTTTCGGTTACGCCGCGCGTTACGTAAACAAAAAAAAAAAAAAAAAAAAAAAAAAAAAAAAAAAAAAAAGCAAAGTAACACATCCCAAAAGNGGTTTTGCTCACTCAAACGAACGATGATTACTTGAGTTGGACCTTGTTTTTCGTGCCCTAAATTACTCAATGTTTGTACACATGTTTGATCTCGTAAAAAAAAGAAAAAAAAAAAAAAAAAAAAGGGCTTTGGGGGGGGCGAACAATTTTTCACACTTTCGGGGAATCCCCTTTGGCCATTCTTTTTTTTTTTTTTTTTTTTTTTTTTTTTTTTTTCATCAAAGAACTGATGAAACAACAAGAACGAAAAAAAAGACCGCCTCGTACGTGGAGGCGTGTTAAACTTTTCTAGCTTCCAAAGAAGAAATTTCACAAAAACCAGCCAATGGGGTGTGTATACCTATGCTCTCGGAAGTAGGGGTACGCCTGATTATTTCGAGGAGCCAACGAAACCGGAGTGCACGTACGTACCGTGGGCACCGAGGGGAAATGGAAAAATGGTTCCTATGATTTCCCAGACAGCGCCAGCCTATCTCGCGTACCCATGTGCACACAGGCCTATATTATGAGGCAATCGTTTGGTCGACGTGTACCATATGACCCCGTGCGTGAGCTCACGTTATACGTAAGAGCATATTTGTGTGTGCGTATATGCATGCACACCTGGAGTGCGTGGTGCAGCGCAGCGTTAGCCGCGGGAGAGTCTGGACCAATGGCGGGCAAGTGGCACGAGGTAATCAAGCGACCTAATGCAGCGAGCGTATGAGCGTGTGGCCTATGGAATCCGGGCTTCCACTTCAAACTTTTGCGAATTTCAGGTGTGCATGCGTCTATGTACATATATACATACATACACTTGCACAAATATATATGTACACATAGATGAAAAGATATGGCGCGTGTATGTACAGAGACGGCCCCCGTAAAAACGCCGAGCGGGAGCTTGGGACTTTTCTTGGCGAATAGGGCAGCTCAGAGACGAGTGTCCGATCGCCGCAAGTGGACATGTTCGCACTTCTTATCCGCGTGTGGTACGCATTGTCACAAGTATTACTCTCTTTGCCTTTTTTTTTTTTTTTTTTTTTTTTTATATTCTCTCTCTTTTTTGCACGTTTGCCCCACCTTTGTGTGTCTTCAAGTGTAATCTACACTCGCTCGGTTGTTCCAACTATAAAATTATTCGAGGAAGGAAAGTGAACGTTATCCCCGAAATAAGTGCATGGGTACTTTTAACGGTGTGACCGGGGCACTAATGGCCGTAGTAAAGTCATTGCTCAATCTAGTTTCTTTGTTTCTCCAAAGCTCGCCGATGCAATCCAGGTGTCGGACGCACAAAACACCGCACCACCGACTCGTTCGTCGATGCGTAATATACGTGCACAGAGTGCGACAACCGAGCAGTAATTACATTTTTTGATCGTCGCGTGTGCAGTGCGTATGTTATTTCCTATATATGTAAGCTGGGATCGTGTGATGAGTGCTTGGTGGAAAATTGCATCTCGTAAAAAAAAGAAAAAAAAAAAAAAAAAAAAAAGGATCCGCCCGTTGCGTAACGCGGTGAACATATAAATAACACTCGTGTATACACCAGTACCCGGGAAAATTAGATGGAGCAGTCGATTGTGCAAATACTTTGCGAAACGCGGCCCATTACGGCTCGCGGTGAGCGCGGGCCACTTGCGAAAAAACGAAAGGCAGTAGCTGCGGCGGCGGCATCTCTCAGCCGTGCCATTATCATCATTCGCGCTGATTGATCTCTGTATTGCGCTCTGTACACGTATACACGCTTTTTATGCCGGAAATCGCGCGGCATTTATTGTAGAAAATTTCGCAATCAACTCGGAAATTTGACAATCTATAAACCCGCGCGAAGTAGACGTGGACTGCGTGTTTGAAAGTCACAGGGGGGGGGAGTGTTTTTTCGCGCCAATCATTACTATAGTTGGTGTGTATAGTCCAGTGCGTAAATTTTTTCCCTGTAATGTTTACTATGGGTGCGTGTGATTATGCCTTTTAATAGCATGCAATTCAATGTTTTTCCTCTGAATGTCGATTATCCATGCGTTTGATGAAAAAAAAAAAACAAATGCAAATTAATTTAATGACTTCTCCATCGAATGCTATAGCGGTAGAGGCAAAAAAAAAAAAAAAAAAAAAAATCGGCAAAAATGATGCGCGTCAGAGTACATCATGAATCGTTCTGTCTGTTGTTGTCTGTTCGCAGCCTGGCGGCCTCACTGTTCGCGGGATCGGCGCTCGGAGCGTTACGTGAGTACCATCACCAACACCATCCCCCGCATCACCACCATCTCCATCACCATCATCACCGACAAACGGCATCACCATCGCCGCGCGAATCGGTAATAATAGCGCGGGAGGAGCCGGCGGCAAAGGTGGCAACGAGAGCAAGGCGAGCCGGGGAGCTGTGGTGGTGCGGCTGGAGCAGTGGCTCGGCCATTGTAATCCTTGCCGCGGCGACGCCAAGCAAACCGGTGGTGTACCACCCGAGGGGCTGCGCACTCTGAAGTCTTTTGGAGACTTCCGAGATCTTTGAAAGACTTGGAATGACTTATAAAGTCTTTTTTGATGACTTTAAGCTATATATGCACTCTTCAAGTCCCGGTCAAAAGTCTGAAGTCTTTGAAAGATTTAGAATGACTTACGAAGTTTTTTTTAAAGACTTCAAGAGTGCGCAGCCCCTCGGTATCACCTCGCCGGCTACGCGCTCATCCTCATCGTCTTCCACGTGCTCGCCTTTGCCCTTCACGTGTTTGCCGGGTAGTTTGACGTATAGTCGCGATCGCGCTAGTCTTTTCCTCTACCCCCCCCCTTTTTTTTAAATCTATTTTCGATATTAGCTTTTCATCATACCTTTTTTTTACTTCTTCTTTTGCCATTTGTCCGGATGTTGAATTGTGTCTTTATTTTTTCACAGCATATTTTTTAACATAACTATGTACCGTTTATTTTTACTCGTCATTCGTCACAAGTACTCGATATACCTATATTTATGGGTAACAACCCTACAACATATACGTTATACAAGAATCATATACACCACCAGTACTCCTTTATAAGTAGCAAATAGATAAAAAAAAGAAAAAGAAAAGAAAACACGTGCATTTACCGAAAGTAAAATGTCTTCACTCGATCCTCGCTTCCTAATGTGACCCAATGTAACCCAAAAAACACGCTAGACAGAAACAATTGATTGATAATAAAAAGGGTGGCGCTTTGGGTGCAGCGCCTTACATAAGGGCCTGCAAAAGGTACGACGAGAACATCGATGCCTGCATCACGAACTCGATCGAACTGTTGCGGGAGAAATTGTCGGAGGGCATTCCCGAGCTCGACGCCCCGGCCATCGAGCCCCTCTACCTCGACCAGATCAGGCTCCTGCGCGGACCCCACGGAGCGCGTCTCGACATCAACGTCACCGGCCTCAAGGTACGTACATGCACTTGGTATGTACACCTTAATTTCTAAAAATTTTTTATCCAGAGGCTTTGCTCTAGATGCCCCTCGATTCATTTATGATACTTATTTTTCCACAACCACTGTTTTCCTCGTACGGGAGAACAAAAAAGGCTCGCAAAGCGTCTGCTCTCGTTTATTTTTCAGTGCGAGGGAAAAATCGACGCAAAATTAAATTTGCATGAATCTCACTTGTAAATTGTGCGTTGCCGGGGATAACACTGATTTTATCGAACGAGGTCTCGAAGTGTGATTCCTTCTTTTATTTTATTATTTTTTTTTTTCCACGCGTATCGAGTCTGTGGGATATTACGCGTACCGCGTGCAGAATTTTTTTTTTTTTTTTTTTTTTTTTTTTTCATAATGCGTCGCGATTGTGTGGTAGAATAGTTGTTTGAAATTTTTCGACTCAGTATTTTTTTGATCGCAAAAATTTTAGTTTCAAATGATGGTTACTTGAAGTATAGTGTGGTAATGATCCTGAAATAAATTAAACCTGTTGGAGTAGTCAAATGGTCTGAAAAACTCTTCCACTTGATAGGTGGTACATATCTGATACGAATAATCGGAGCAAGTCGAGGAAAAAGTTGCTTTTATGAGAACAGGACAATATTGGTAATGACATTTTCAGGTATACGGACCGTCAACGTTCAAAGTGCAAGATTTGAAAGCTGACACCGACAACGTCAAGTTTACATTTAAAGTTGGCTTCGACCGACTGACTTTCAAGGGAAAATACTCCATCGACGCGAGACTACTGCTCCTGAGGCTGGCTGGGAGTGGAGATCTTTCGGGAAATTTTAGTACGAAAATTTTTAACTTACACCCCTTCCCCCCATCCATCGGTACCATGTGCCATATTATTGTATTCACTTGGAGAAAAGTTATTTTGACAACATGAACAGACAACGTCTCTTTGATGCGAAAATGCTTAACAATAATCTAAAATAATTGCAAAATTTTTAGTGGAAAATAATTTTTCTTTTAGCCGATTATAAGTCAGATGTCATACTGACTGCTCGCAAGATTCACCGGAACAACGACACGTATCTGAGCTTTAATAAGATGAAACTAGATATAACCATTAAAAGCGCCAAAGTTTACCTCAGCAATCTCTTTGGAGGAGATCCTATTCTTGGTGAGTAGATACACCTTTTGATTGTCACATAGCATGGATTTAATCTAGAAAAAAAAAAAAAAAAAAATCCCCATGATTTTCAGGTCCAGCAAGCAACGAAATATTGAACGCCAACAGTGCGATATTCTTGGATGAATTGAGACCCGTACTGGAGCAATCCCTCTCCGATTTATTTACGAATGTGGCTAATAAAATTACACGGTCGTTCACCTACAATGAATTGTTTCCTTTATAATAATGAATTTTATTTTTTAAATTAGATTGCAACCAAAACACATAATAAGTTGTTGATTTATTTTTCTTTTCTTTCTTTTTTTTTTTTTTTTTTTTTTTTTTTTTTTTTTTTTTTTTTTTTTTTTTTTTTTTTT